CACTGCTCCTTTCTACACAGAAAATGAAAGAGAAAATTGAAGTAGTTATGTTGGCAATTTAAGCAAAAAAGGAAATATCCAGATACTTGAGGGAAAGGGGAATTGGAGATTTGAACTAAGCAGATAACACTCTGAGTTCTCAATTTCACTTTGCCAGGAACACAAAGCATTTTTTAAATGAAGATTATAGAGCAGAGATTTCTAAAGACCATGTCGAGTCTACATGATCAGAGAGCCCCCAAACCAATCTTCTTGCTATCTCAGCAAAACATGGCATTAATTAAGGCTATTTTAGTTTTCTTGTGTTATTCAAATTTTCAGAGACTGTGTCACCGTCAGGCAAGATATCCTCACAAACACGAAGACATAACTTTTTCATTTCCTTTCCACTTACCTGTGAACTTCGGGAGGACAGGAAGCCATCATGAGGAATGTGGGTAACAGCTGTCAGTGATTCTAGCTCTGTCTCCCACCAAAGAACTAAGTTCCTCCTAAGAAGTAGCAGTGGTCTCCTTTCCCAGTGTCCAGCAGTCCCCTGTTGCCCCCTATCATCTCAGCTATGCTGATTGATGTTCTTTACTGCTTCTAGCCTGTTGTCACGGCTGATGTCATTATTTTTCTCCTTGGCTACCACCACCCCTGATGCCAACCCTGTAGGATATGGGTCCAATAAATACCACCTGGCCACGCATCCTTGTACTCTGTTTCTCTTGATGCTGTGGAATAATTTTGCATAACTTCAGAGTTTATCACTCCCCACATACTCATGGCCCCAACTTTCTTCCATTTGATCAATATTATTCAGCTAATACAAAAGAGGACCCTAAATTCACGAATGCTTATCCTTACCTCCAGACAGTAAATATTTTTAAATCATTTCAATTGCGCTGTCGGATTTTGTAACATGTTTATTAATTGCCCAGTATCACTGGACTGATCAGGAAGTTTTGTCTTTGAGCAGTATGATACCTCAATCAGTTGAAAGCCTGAATAGAAAAGTTTGATCCTCCTGTGAGTCATAATGATTTCCTTCTGCCTACCTGCCTTTCAAACTTAAACACTGGTTTCTCTGCTTTTGGACTGCACTGAACATCAGGTCTTCCAGGGTCTCAAGCTTGCCAGTTTTTGGACTGGAACTGCACCATCGGCTTTCCTGGATCCCCACCTTGTCAACTGTGATTCTATTCTTAGGACTTGTCGAGTCTCTATAATTATGTGAGCCAATTCCTTATGTTACACACACACATGCACAACATATATAAATATATATATATATATATGACATACATATAACACATATACATATTGTATGTGTAAGATGTAACATATATACCAATATCTAACAGATTATTTTTCTCTGGAGAACCCTAACTGATACACCAGCTCCATCTCACTCTGATATTTGTTTTGTTTACTATCCAAGTATTTTTAAATTTTTTTTCCAAATTATGACTTTAGATTGTTTTGTTTCAAATGTTTCCCCACTTGTAAATAATTGAAGAACCTCATTCCCAAAGGTAACTGCTCTATGATTAGCTTTCTCTTTTTCTTATACATATGGAACTAAAATAAATGTAGACTGACCCTCTATCCCATTGCAGTTCCTTAAACTATGCTTCATACTAAGTTCATAGCCTGTGTTCACAAACCAGGGTCTCCCATGAATGCCTGCTCTATTTTCTGGAAGTTTACTGTCTGTGAGGCTTTATAAAATGGCCTTAAATTTTCTGCATCCAACAATGCCTCTCATGAACTATCATGTCTTGTGAGGCTCCCAAAGCTAATTGCCAATACTTAAGGGTGGAGGGGAGTGCCCAGTTGTGTGAGACTGGATTATCTCTGGATCAGGAAAAGGATTTTGCCTCAACACTGTGTCACTTTCCTACCAACTCCCTCCCAAGACAGAGGAAGACAGCCAGATCCTGCTGCCAGTGAGGAGAACGTGAAAGTCTGGATGGAAGCCAAGCTCCTGGTCTTTCCAGTTTTTCCTGTTCCAATTAAAGTTTTTAAACTTGTAAGTTCTATTTTAGTTAGAACTCAACAAACTCAAACTCAACAAAAAATGTACTTCCTTACCTTTAGCTGATATCAAGAACGTCTCTCCCAACACTGGGCTTGGTATTGAGAGGGCAGACTTCATCTGCCCACGGAGATCACCAACATTACCTGTTGCATTAGGCAGCTTATTTTAAACTAAATCTTTCTCAATACAGATGCTCCTCAACTTCCAATGGCATTATGTTTCAAGAAACTCATCATACATGAAAAAAATCACAGTTCAACAATGCATTTAATACTCCAATAAACCCACATTTAAAAGTCAAAAATTGTAAATATAACCATCATAAATTGGAGACCTCTGTACTTGTGAAAGTGGGAATAGGATGTTAAAAGCAGCAAGGGAGCCAGGCGCGGTGGCTCATGCCTGTAATCCCAACACTTTGGGAGGTTGAGGCAGGCGGATCACAAGGTTAAGAGATCGAGACCATCCTGGTCAACATGGTGAAACCCCGTCTCTACTAAAAATACAAAAATTAGCTGGGCATGGTGGCAGGTGCCTGTAATCCCAGCTACTCAGGAGGCTGATGCAGGAGAATTGCCTGAACCCAGGAGGCGGAGGTTGCAGTGAGCCGAGATGATACCATTGCACTCCAGCCTGAGTAACAAGAGCAAAACTCCATCTCAAAAAGAAAAAAAAAAAAAAAAAAAAAAAAAAAGCAGCAAGGAGAATTTTTTTAAAAAAAAAAAAGGTTGACATTTTAAAGATATTCATTTACAATTATTTTATTAAACAATCACCTTTTACATGTCATCAGACCTTACCCCTGAAGTGCAAAAAAACAGTTTGAGGTATTAAAACTGAAGAAACATTTGCACATATTTTGTAAGGTTTTTCACACTATAATAACTGTAAAATTCAGTATAACTAAATACTCCATATAACTGCAGGTTTACAAGAACAAAGTTGTAAAAAAAAAACCAGACCTGGTTTATTTCATTGTAACTCTGATGCTTCCATTTATGATGAAAGGTGGCAAAAAACATGATACTTATGTTGCTTCCCAAATGATATGTGTCCATTATTCAATTCTACAAAATGGTGTATAGAATTTAAAAGGTTAACAGCTGAAACAGAGTCCATTCCAAAAGCATAAAAATCAAATTGACAAAACAGCTTAAATGATATAATGTCCTATTCACAGAACTTAATCCTAAAATCAATGGCAATTCCCTTAAAGTATCTGAAATAGATTTACTAGCATATCTCAACACTATCCATGTACATATAGGATCACATTAGTAGTATGCTCAGTTAATGATATTAACACAGAAAAAGTTCAGAATTGTCACTTCAAAGTTATTTTGAAATAACACAAGGAAAAGTAGATTAGTTTTTTATGTGATTTAAACTTCTTTGCATTGAAGAAATTATCAAGAGACTTTCCAGATCTTACTTCACTTTGCGTCTACACCTTGAAATACAAAGTTGATGCGATTATATAGCTAATTATTGCAATATAAACACTTTCTCCTGAAATATTCACGCAAATTGGAGAAAAAATTGTTTTTCAACTTGATGATTGATTTAATTACTAACTCATAGTGTAGACATTTCATTTAAAGCAATCTAATATTGCTTCATGATTTGCATGGAGTATAATAAATTAAGTCCCAACTAATGGGTCACAAATGTTGAATAGAAATTAGTTATTACAGCAATTGCTTATAGTTATCACAGCACTTCTAGCAACTTCACAGGCTGGGTTTTGATGTTGGCTATTAAATTGTTTTATTTGTTCAGCGCATAGGTAGCTTGAACAAAGAAAAGATTGATTTTTTTTTGTAAGAACATGGACTGCTTAAAATTTTCTTTTTTGCAAAACTGACAAAAGATCAAATGCTTCTTGCAGTTTACTATTAGAAGCAAATATTGTTTATTCATGGCAATTATAACACCTACAAGAAGATGCCTTAAAAAGAAACCATCTCCTGATTATTTGTATTGCCTGCCTGGCATCAAAAATATGGGAGAAAATAATATCCTTTTATGTAGATTCTAACAATGTTCTACAAACTGCACTTCACCTAAGTTTCCTTTTGTTTCAGGAAAAGGGGAATCTAAATTGTTAAAAATCCTTCCAGGAACAGGATGCTTATGAGCTGACGATAATGTTCTCTTTTCACAACTACAGTTTGTTTTCACGTGTAATGATTCCTGAATTAAAAATAATCTTTGCACAGTTACCTCACTGCTGGAAGCACAGCTGCAACAGCAGCTGAACTGTTTACCTAGGGGAGAATTAACATGTGCTGATGCTCTCAAGTGAACCAAAAAAAGAAAACTGAGCACAGCCATTCCTCTTCTAATGAATAATGATCTAGGGCCACTTGGTATTACCTAGGAAGCTAACAAGTACTTTCACTATCTTCTATGCAAAAGGACACCCCAGGTTAAGATATACGTCCCAAGATTTTCTTTTTAAGTGAATATTGTCAGACACGGAAATCAGCCAAAAACACAGGAGGTCATGGAATGAGTAGTTAAATCTCAGGTATCCAAATTGGCCAGTCCAATTAAAACACGTCCCCAAGCTGAGAATATCTGGATTAAAACAAAAGGCAACATTTATTCTAAGACCACATGTACCAATCTAAATGCCACTGCAGTGGGTTTTAATGCTTAAGGGGGAAATGCAACACATTTCATTTTTGGTCTACTCCCACCTTTTATCTTTTAGCCATCAAAAGAAAATTGAAATAAAATGAAATATTACTGATCCTGTAAGTCCTGAATATTTTTCACTTATTATCAGTATATTCATGGGTGGCATAAAAATAGGGCTGGCCACACACATAAGTGACAAGAGCAATATTAGAAACTTCTTTCACTATCATTACACTGACACACTACACTGTGAAATTTATCAAACCTACAAATATTGAATGCTGACTGACACGAAATTCAGATGAAACACTGACTGCAGTCACACAGAGTTTAGTCAGTGAAGCCTTCTCCAGAGAGCAAGGACCTGTTACCGTCAGTCAAAGACTGGGTTTCTTATGCCATTCAACACTAAACTGGTGGGTCCCTTCCTGTGCAGAAGGGCCAGTGAGCATAGAAGAAGAGAAAAGCTTGTAGCTCCCAGAATGACGATTCCTGATATCAGTGCACTGGTGATGGCGTTCAGCTGGAAAGGAGGCACACTTGGAAATCCTGCAAGGAATGAAACACACCCAGTTGTAAAGGCGCCAATCTTACCTGCAAAACCTTTCATCGGCATCTTATAGCATAGCAGCATGGCACTGAATTTTGTTACAATCTATTTGACTCTAATTCAACCCAGTACCAAAGAATTGTAAGGTTTAGAGGCTGTCCATGGGCAGCCAAAACCAAAAATACACAAAAGCTGTCAAATCCTAAAAATTGACCAATAGATCACATACGAGTTCAAACATCCGCAGTGAACTGTTACCTAAAATGCACCAAACTTGTAAAACTCTTAGTACACTTAGACGATTGTAACTTTGTAACTGATCATGAAAAACATAAAGAACATAGCAAAATACATTAATTATCTTACCAAGTTGTGAATTGTTGGTTGGAGTCTCATCTGAGGGGAAAAACAGGAAAAGAGAAGTGACATCATCTCTCTAAGTATTTACCTTTGTTTATTCTGATTCATAATTACTTTGTACCTACATCTTACTTCCACCCATGACCTCCTTGAGTAAGGCAAAAAATGAAAATCCTGCTAAACCATTCTGCTTTTCCATGCCCTGATTCCTATGTCTTGGATTTCACCATCTTTCTCTTCCCCAAGCCCACATCCTGCCCCTGCCCTGGGTATGCAAACATAATCGATAAAATATATACTGTGCTGTATTCTTGCCTGCCAACTTTGCTTCATCATTAGCTCCCCAGTCAGGTCAGCGGGGGCAGTAATTGTTAACAGCTATTACATTTTTTATGGCCCTGTAACCTGCCATTTATTATTCTTTTCTACAGAATATTCATTATTTAGTGCCACTCTATTTTAAGTATTGCCAATTTGCCCAACATAATCTGCAAACACATCATTTTAAGTTCCAAGAAGATAAATTTACACTTAATAACTATATGAAAGGAAAACATGACTCCTGAGCTTGAGTTGTAGTTTCATTTGCATCTGTTAAGGAAAAGATTGAAGCTGTTGATTTTTCACTTTTCCCTGGCAAAGACAATAATAGATGTAATGAGCATATTACCTGATTTCCCGATTTCTGTTGTCCAATTTGTCCTCATATGCTATTAACCCTTGAGCCTGAACAAGCTCATAGTTCATATTTGTGTTTTAATATTTGTGTTTGTTATTTGAACCATAAAATGTATGCCATTGACTGTTTATTCCTGGACTATAAATATTATTACAATCAATATGTGTATAAAACCACATAGCTCATGAAGGGCTGTTTCATATATTATCACATTTCATTCTCACAGAAGCCATATGGTTTGGATATTATCGTTACTCCCATTTTACAGATAAAGAAATTTCCATCTGTCACAGCCTTTATGACAGAGCAAACATATGCTTAAAACAAAGCTCAGTTTCAGAGCCCTTTTTCTAAAATAATATAAGCTGAGCAAGTATGAAAAATATTTCTGGTTATGGAGATGAATATCTTAAGCTATGAAACTTTAGGATTATTATTTAAAACAAGTAATGAGAGAACCTGGTGAGGTATTTATAAAATATCTGATTCAATTTATTTTCAGAGACATAAATTTTGGCAGAAACGATGGTTCTGCTGTCTGATCCTGAAGTATAATGCTCAAAATTAATACAGCACTCAGGATTCTTTAGAATGCTGCAATGCATTGCTATAGGACAAAAAGAAAAATAAAAAAATATTTTTATTATAGAACATCGAGAAAAATCCTAACCTCTAACCAACACTACTTTTTAACACTGCCTTCTCAGAGAAACAGGTGGGATGAATGGACTATTATCAATTCCTCCAAAATATCCATGTGCTCTTTTCCCAAGATGAACTGCTTCACTGGAACACAGGAGAAGAATATACAAGGCTCCAACATTTCTTTTTAAAAGCTATTTCTTTTTTAGAAATACACTTAATTGCTTTAAAATAATTTCCACTAAAAATTAGAAAGCTGCTTTCTAATAAGTGTCCCAACTACGACTAGATGCTCTCCCTGCTATTTTCTGCATCCTAGGGTTAACAAAAATGAAACTACTCCCCCGACTCTCCCATATTACCACCAACACTTCTATAGAAACAATATCTCAGTCGTCGCTAATGAGGACTTGGCTGTGGACAAAATCTCCCTGTGTTGGGACAAGACACTCCCTTTTCCAAATGAGACTGGAACCACAAAATCCAGATTCCAGGACTCTGAAAAATGAAAGCATACTATCTTTGGCAGGTGGTCGAAATGGAAAACGGTGATATTCGAATACTATTTAGAATTGTATTTGATAGTGGATAAAGGTAGAGAGAATTGCTTTATCTAGTTGCTATTTCTGGTAGCCTCCAATTTTTTGTATTATTGTAAACAAACAAACAAAAAAAAAATCAAAGCACTGCCTAGCCTTGCAAGGGAAGGTAGACGTTTTTCAGGAGACTTGTTTTTTCCCTCAAACCCACTTGGTCATGACATGTACATAAATGCTAAAAGAAACACCTGAAGCCTTCTGGAATTAGAACTGATTGGAATACCAAATTTTTGGGCTCTCCAGGAGTATATTTAAGCATCTGAGAGCCTATAGGAGAAAGGTCATAGGAGCAATGCCGCAGCCATTGGAAAGTCAGAAGTGGCAGATAAATTGTCATTCTCTGCTGTCTCATGTAAGTAGTTGAAATAAATAGAAAAACAACCACCAAAGATATATGCAGAATAATTTTTTTCTCTTAGAACTAGAAAACTATTTCTTTAAAAAATCTCCAATAACCTATGTAATAAAATGGACCACACATTTTAAGTCAATAAGCTCCAACTTTATTCCTTTCACAGTGTTATGTTTGTTAATAGTCTGTTTCTACCTCTGAACTCTGAGATCCCTGAGGACAGTCTATCGCCTGCTCTCTATCATACTCCCAGTTCCTAGAACAGTGCTCGTCCCATGTAGGGACTATACAGGTATGTGCAAATGAATTGTTAACTACTCACAAAACTCAACAATACTAGTTGGACAAGAATATGGCTTGGGTTTCTCCACCGGAATTTAAGTAAACAAAACAATTAGGTATTGTTTTCTGGTGGTGCTTTGGATTTCCAGAATTGACCCTTTGATAAGCATTTCCCTATCTAAACATTTTTAGCATTCTGAAGTTTTGTGGGTTTTTTAAAAAAAAAATTATTATTTTATTTTGTTTTACTTATATATGCATGTATTTTTGTTGCGTTTTAGGTTTTGGGGTACATGTGAAGAACATGCAAGATTGTTGCATAGGTACATACATGGCAATATGGTTTGCTGCCTTTCTCCCCATCCCCTATATCTGGCATTTCTCCCCATGCTGTCCCTCCCCAACTCCCCACCCCCTGCTGTCCCTCCCCTAGTTCCCCCACTACAGACCCCCGTGTGTGATGCTCCCCTCCCTGTGTCCATGTGTTCTCATTGTTCAATACCCGCCTATGAGTGAAAACACAGCATTCTGAAGTTTTAAATAAAAATACTTTGGAAAATTGTTCTTGTGGGTTGCCTTTTGAGGATGCGAAGATTTTCCTAAGTCAAGTAAAAAAAACTATCAACAATGTTGGGTAAAAAATAGCCAGAACAGATTTGATTTCATTAAAAAGCAAAACAAAACAGGAGTTCTGAAGTTTAACAACTTACTGAACTTGACCTAAGCTAGATGTCAAGGGAAAAGGAGTGGTTCAATGAGCAAACAGAGCAAAACCTCCAGGTATCAGAGAGCTTGGGAGAGAGCAAATCAAGCCTGACACTGGACTTGTCTATATAAAATTGGCCCCAGGACCTGGAGAGATAAATTCTAGCTGATAAAATGGAACTAATGAAAGAGGGTAGTTCTGGTCATGAAGCTGAACATGAAGTTTGTACAGGATTTGCCTGTGGATGGATATGGCTTGAGTTCTGAGTTCTGTGTTCATGTGGAATGTTAAAGCATATATTTCTTCATGGATATTGTAGTGTTACAATGTAAACATTGTTATACATGTTCCTCTAAGTGGTGAGACCACCTTGATGACCAAAAAATGAAGACCATGACAAAATGCTATTTAGAAAAATTACTCAAAATAACTCCAGAGAGAATGAGAGAGGATTCAAGGGGACCCTGAGTGTGTGAGTGTGCTCCTCTGGGTGCTCGGCCAGTGGAGAAACCCAAGGTGACTCAGGGACAGCTCTAGCATGTTGGATAATAAATGACATTCTTGAGGTGCAAAGGGGTTTGAAAACCAGAAAGAAATCCAGGCATGCCATCAGAGGCATTGTGATACCTCTTAGTGGTGTTAACACAGATATTTTGGGCAACTAGACATGGGATGGATGAAATCTATAAACTTGGACAGCTGGTTAGTTATGTTAGAATTAGAGACTTGTACTTATTTATCTTTACTGGAATTTTGGGAGTCTTAGAATTTTTTTTTTGTATTTTAAAAAATTATTTTATACTAATGATATGGTTTAGCTGTGTCCCCACCCAAATCTCATCTTGAATTATAGCTCCCATAATTCCCACAGGCCGTGGGAGGTAATTGAATCATGGGGGTGGGTTTTTCCCATGCTATTCTCATGATAGTGAGTAAGTCTCATGAGATCTGATGGTTTTATAAAGGGCAATTCCCCTGCACACACTGTCTTGCCTGCCACCATGTAAGACATGCCTTTGCTCTTCCTTCGCCTTCTGCCATGATTGTGGAGACTCTCCACCCATGTGGAACTGTGAGTCCATTGAATTTCTTTTTTCTTTATAAATTACCCAGTCTCATGTATGTCTTTGTTAGCAGCATAAGAATGGATGAATACAGCTAACAAATTATTTAAAATTTGTAATACTTAATTTGGCACAGGCAAGAAGGAAGTACGAGGGTAATTAAGGAGGAAAAGCCATCCATCCAAGATGAACAGAAGAAATGTCGCTTTAATAGTTGTTTTCTTACACCAAACTGGCTCTAGATAAGCTCCATGGAAATGAGAATCTCTTTCCTTATGCCTACCCGAAAGCAATCCTAACAATCGGCAACAAGAACTGAGTTTTCATTAAATGAAATTCTATGAGCTATTTCTCACAGCTAGATAGAGATCAAGACTGGGCCTTTCACAAGCCACAAACGAGTCATTTTTAAACCAGTGGAAGCGCATACCAAAAATCTTCAGGGAGTACGGACTAAGTTTGAAATTTCATATTTAATACATCTCTGCATTATTAAAAAGAACGATTAGTTTGTTTCTAAATAATGTTATGTCTACATGAACACAGGAAAGAAAGTAATTAAAGCAACTGTCTGAATTTTTGGGGCCAAAACCACTTTTTGCTGTTTTGCTTATTTCAAGCAAAACTTTATTCTGTCTGTGGGATGAGCAGCATGGGAGAAAAGGTACCGAAAATATAACTAAACGTAGTAACAGCATTAAGGTTGATAGAAAATGGAGAAAACATTATTAGCATATAATCTGAATCAGAATTGTTCTCTTTTACGGCACAAATTTAGAACTATGGAGTTAGAAAAAAAGAATCTTAAAGTCTACTTTTTAAAACTTTCATTTTAAAAATGAAGAAACATTTGCCCAGAGAAATGAAGTAAAATCTCTAGTCATGTAACTTGTTAGAACAAAAGCTAAAGCTAGAACCAGCTTTTCTGGCTTTAGTTTCTGATTTTTTTACATTGCATCTCCGTTTTATCTCTGGGTTCACACTCACTTAAATCTACAAATTCTGTATCCCTTTATATTGTGTGTGTGTGTGTGTGTGTGTGTGTGTGTGTGTGAACAGGAAATGCAGTAAAAACAATATTGCCCTTTGTGTCAAAGTGGAGTCAACAGGAAAACCACTGTGAAATTGAAGTTGCTTAGCCATTTGTCTTGTCTCACAGTTAATCAGTGCCGTTTAGGAACCACTCTGAGTTCCCGTTAGAAGCCAGGGAACGAGGCGTTTTGGACTCGTCTGTCCCTACACACAGAAGGAGGAGCAGCCCTACCGCTGCGCGTGATGATGGGGCCCGCAGAGAGCACCGCGCTGCCCGAAGGGCCCTGGGGGCTCCGAGTCGTCCTCCTGCCAGCGTCTCTCCTCTCTCTGTGGCTGCAGATCTGAGGTGTTAAGGAAAAGCAAATGAAATTCCACACCAGTACAGAATGGTCTCTCTATGGCCATTTGCAAAGCAGATTCTTTTGGAAGAGATACCACGGGTTTAATTTTATTCGTTTCCTTCCATGACTTTATTTAATTACTCTGCATGTAACGGGTACAGTGTTTGTGACCCTGGCGGGGGCCACATTTCTTATTTCCTCCTGCTGTCACCCTGCTCTGCCTCATAAATTTACATAGCTCAATGGCTCTCTTGAAAAAGTGCTGTGTTTATCAAACTTTTCTCCTTTTATTTCTCTCAAGCCTTTAATGAATCCTTCCCGGAAATGTTGGTCAGCACGGACTCAAGGTAATGTGGACTCACCATTTACCCCCATCTGACACAGCTTCTCAGTCCAAAGGGATCAATGAGCATGAAGAAATAGCTTCCCATTTATGCATGAATTGAACATAAACATAAACATATTAATGGTATTTCAAATTTTAAAATGGCCTTCATTTTTCTCAGGTTAATAATGATGTGACCCTAGACAGCTGGTCAGAATAGAATTTTTTTATTCATACTAAATAGATCTGCACGTTAATGGTGGCTGCATGCAATTCAGATGCACACCTTTTATTGCTTTTAACTTTTTTTTTCTTTCGTTTTGAGACAGAGTCTCACTCCGTCACCAGGTGTCAGGCTAGAGTGCAGTGGTGCGACCTTGGCTCACCGCAACCTCCACCTCCCGGACTCAAGCAATTCTCCTGCCTCAGCCTCTCAAGTAGCTGGGACTACAGGCGTGCGCCACCAAGCCCAGCTTTTTGTTGTTGTTGTTGTTGTTGTTGTTGTTGTTGTTGTTGTTGTTGTTGTTGTATTTTTAGTAGAGACGGGGTTTCACCATGTTGGCCAGGATGGTCTCGAACTCTTGACCTCGTGATCCGCCCGTCTCGGCCTCCCAGAGTGCTGGAATTACAGGCGTGAGCCACCACGTGCGGCCAATTTTAACTTTTAATCTAAGTGATTTTCTAACCATCCAGCCACAATCTACCTTTCTAGCACCAACCCAGTCCTCTCCCTCCCCAATCATTTCTACTCTGCTCTAAAACCCTGCTGAAGAACTAGAAGCTCTCTGATCACCCTAATTTATGTGTCTGTGTCTTTGACCATCATTTGGTCCGTGACGTCTCCCACACTCTTGATTTTGGTTCTTTGGGGTTCAGCCATCTTCAGAGTAACAGCTGAAGTTCATCTCCTCCACCAATCCTCTCCACCTCCTCTGCTTCATCTCTCTCACGATTGTGAATGCTACCTCTTACTACAAACTGTGTATTTGTCTGCCTTTGCACCATACGATTTTTATCTTGCTTTCTTCTGTGACCATCTCATGATCCTAAAGGATAATATAATTAAATTCAGAATTTGTGCATACCTCATCTCTTATCCTCAGTATAATGCTTGGCACAAAGTAGGATGTTTAGTAGACCTTTACTAGACAAATGAATAAATCCTACATCAAACTATTTGATCTAACACCTATCTACTTTCTATGCAGAAATTAGTTTCTGACATTTGACAACGGTTCAGCTCAGAACAATTCAAAAACTTAAGAGTTAAGTTCCTTAAAAACATACCGGCATAAGGAAGGGGCAGTCATCTGCTCTGCAGAGCTTGGTAACACAGTGCAGGAACACAGTGGACATTTTCTGATTCTTGTGTTTCACAAATCGGAACACTTCAAATGAAAACCGGCCCCGCTGGCTTCGGCCATTCTCAATGACGGTGGTCTGAGGATCTTTGTCACAGCTAAATTTTAGGGGATGTGCAAACAGGACATCACTGGAAAGTACTAACCTACTGGGACTTGTAAATTAATTTCTACAGTGTTAAGGATCTGCCATTACATTAAGAGCTAACAGAACCATGCCATGTTACAGATATTTAATAAGCGCATAAGCCAATTCAACAGATATGACAAAAATAATCCGGATCATAAAATTTAAACAGATCAGTTTCTGATTGCAATAATAGTTTGTAGAATTATACTTTCATATAGTTCAAAACTCCAAATAATTTAAAATACATTGAAACCTGCCAGTGGTGATCTTACTTATTTTCACATCTATTTTCATTCAAATTTATTTTCACTTATTTTTACTTAATTCCCAGGGAATGTGAAAACAGAAACAGAAGCAATGTATTCTTATTGTCCTCCCTCTTTAAACAAATTATAACATATTGTCTACACTGTTTTGTACCTTGCCTTTTAAAGATGTAGCAGTCTACCTTAGAGATCTAACTGTATCAATATTTAGAAAGCTTCATCATTCTTTTTCCACGGCTGTATAGTATTTCATATGGACATGTTTTAGAGTTTATTTAATCTGTTTCCTATTCATGTACATGCATTTTTTGAATCTTTTGCTTTTTAAAAACAAAGTAATAATGAACAGCCTTGCGATATATCATGTTGAACATGTATAGGATTATCTACAAAATCCATCTCTAGAATCATTTAATAGATATTGCCACACTGCCCTTTACAAATGTTGTTCCATTTTGGACTTCACAAGAAATACATGAAAATGATGCTTACTTCTCCAGAGCTGCATCATTAAGGTGTATGGATAAAAGTTTTTACTACTCCTTATTTGAGAGTAAAAACGAACTATCACTCTATAATTTTAATTTATATTTGTCTTATAATTAATGAGTTTCTGTATCTTTTCACATAACTTAGAGTCATTTGTATTTCTTTATCTGCAAATGGTTTGTGTCCTTTGCCCAAATTCTGTTGTGTTGTTGGCTTTTTTCTTTCTTATTCTTGTAAATTCTTTTACGCATTAAGAAGAGTGGTTCTGCTCAAGAAAGTAAGAGTGGACACAAACAGATGGAAAAACATTCTATGCTCATGGTTAGGAAGAATCAATATCGTGAATATGGCCACGCTGCCCAAAGTAATTTATAGATTTAATGCTAACCTCATCAAACTACCATTGACCTTCTTCACAGGACTGGAAAAAATCACCTTAAACTTCATATGGAACCAAAAAAGAGCCTGCATAGCCAAGACAATCCTAAGCAAAAATAACAAAGGTGGAGGCATTACACTATCTGACTTCAAATCATACTACAAGGCTACAGTAATCAAAACAGCATGGTACTGGTACCAAAACAGGGATATAGACCAATGGAAGAGAACAGAGGCTTGGAAGTAATGCCTCACATCTACAACCATATGATCTTTGACAAACCTCACAAAAACAAGCAATGGAGAAAGGATTCCCTGTTTAATAAATGGTGTGGGGAAAACTAGCTAGCCATGTGCAGAAAGCTGAAACTGGACCCCTTCCTTTCACCTTATATAAAAATTACCGCCATATTGGTTAAAGATTTAAGCATAAGACCTAACACCATGAAAGCCCTAGAAGAAAACCTAGGCAAAACCATTCAGGATGTAGGCATAAGCAAGGACTTCATGACTAAAACACCAAAAGCAATGGAAACAAAAGCCAAAATAGACAAATGGGATCTAATTAAACTTAAAAGCTTCTGAACAAAAGAAACAATCATTAGAGCAAGCCAGCAACCAACAGAATGGGAAAAAAATTTTGCAATCTACCCATCTGACAAAGGGCTAATATCCAGAATCTACAAAGAACTAAAACAAATATACAAGATAAAACAACCCCATCAAAAAGTAGGTGAAAGGTATGAATAGACACTGTGCAAAAGAAGGTATTTATGTGGCCAACAATCATATGAAAAAATGCTCATCATCACTGGTCATTAGAGAAATGCAAATCAAAACCACATTGAGATACCATCTCACACCAGTTAGAATGGCAATCATTAAAAAATCAAGAGACAACAGATGCTGGAGAGGATGTGGAGAAATAGGAACACTTTTACACTTTTGGTGGGAGTGTAAATTAGTTCAACCATTGTGCAAGACAGTGTGGTGATTCCTGAAGGACCTAGAAATAGAAATTCCATTTGACCCAGCAGTCCCATTACTGGATATATACCCAAAGGATTATAAATTGTTCTATTATGAAGATACATGCACCCGTATGTTCACTGAGGCACTGTTTACAATAGCAAAGACTTGGAACCAACCCAAATGCCCATCAATGATAGACTGGATAAAGAAAATGTGGCACATCTACACCATGCAATACTATGCAGCCATAAAAAAAGATGAGTTCATGTCCTTTGCAGAGATATGGATGAATCTGGAAACCATCATCCTCAGCAAACTGACACTGGAACAGAAAACCAAACACCACATGTTCTCACTCAATGGTGAGTATGGAGCAATGAGAACACATGGACACAGGGAGGGAAGCATCACACACTGGGATCTGTTGGGGGTTGTGGGGCTAGCGGAGGGATAGCAGGGTGTGGACAGGAAGGATAACATTAGGAGAAATACCTAATGTAGGTGATGGGGGGATGGAGGCAGCAAACCCCCATGCATGGCATGTGTATGTATACCGATGTAACAGTCCCGCAAGACCTGCACATGCAGCCCAGAACCTAAAGCAAAATTTTATTAAATTTTGTTTAATAAAACATTATTTTAATAATAAAATTATTATTAAAACAATAATAATAAGATTTTACTTTTACATAAATATTAATGAAATATACTCCACAGTTCAGTGCAAAAAAAAGAAAAGAAAAGTACTTACCGGTTTGTTGTATAAGTTGTAAATTTTGTCAATTCGTTATTTGGCTTTGGATATTGTGTGTGTGTGTGAGTGTGTGTACAGTTTTATTCTTATGTAATGAAATTTTCAGTATGTTATTTTGTGGTTTCTACTATTTGGGCAGAAGACAGTTTCATGACTCCAAAGTTTTAAAGGTATACATACAATTATATATGATGATCCTTTTCCTTGATATTGTAATACCTTTAAATGTTAAATAATCACATATTTTCAAAGATAGAAATACCAATAAGGCAAAAAGGAAGAAGGTAAGGAAAGCCAACCATTTTTTCTATCTAATATGTAACTTTATGTGAAGGTAATACCCATATGGACTCTCAACTTACTGGTTGTCCATAATTCACCTAGCTCTTCCCTTATTTCCGAATATACAATTTGTTCCCATGTTTTACTACTTTAAATATCACTGATAGACCAGAACATCATAAATATTTAAAAATACACTTCACAATTTGTAAAGCTGGAATCAAAGAATATGAAACTTTTAAGGCTTTCGATACATACTGACATTTTTTTCCCAAAAATTTTACCCAAAGTAACATTTCCAGAAATAGGATACGTAAGAGTAACAGTTTGACCATACCCTCTGTACATCGTCTTGCCCTTGATTAGCCAATAAAGTATATTCTTTTGGTTTCCCATTATATTACTTCCAACATGTGTCAATAAGCTGCAGTGATCCGAGTCAACTGCATTTTATAAGCATGATTAGAAGACATTGCTTGACTCTCAAGTCTGTTCTGCTGTCAGATAAAAATGCTGAAAAGGAACTAGGATGATTTAATGGTTTTATGACCAATGTCCTCTTTCCGCAAATGTAGATTACCTTCACTCTATCACTGTCTATTGGGGAACGAGGTTGAAGTTATTGTCTCTAATAAAAGAAGGATTGGTAGGTTATATTATAGTTTTATCCTAAATACTGATAAATGAACAAAAGTATTTTGGGGTCTAAATTATCCAGACCATTGCTTTAATTTTACTCTCCTTTCGACAGACAAGATAGTCTAGCTGCAGATAAATAGTAACCTCAATTGCCTTTCTTTTCTTGAGAATAATATCCTAACCATGATTTTCCTAAGACAGTGATATATTCCCGTATCTCCTAAACATGAATAAAACATCTTTGGTGGACCAAACTTACAACTCTGATTCAGCAATAGCCTTATCAGCATTTTGTGTTGAAAAGTACTCTCAGCTTTTATACTTTCAGTTTTATAAGGACTCAAAGTTCAAAATGTAAAACTTGAAATTCATAAGCTATAAAAGTGCTTTGTAATTTACCTGACTTTGTAATTACAAAATGCTTTGTAATTTACAAAGTATTGTATTGATATACAATACTTAGACAGCTAAGTCTTACCTAAGGAAGAGGTCATATCGAATGTCATCATTTGGGTTTCCTGATGGGGTTGTGTAGCAATAATCCATTAAAACATTCCATCTGAAAGAATGTAAGCAAATATAATCTAGAGTCAGAATTTCCTTTTGGGTGTCAGTTACTAATACAAGGGAAGTAAATATCGACAAACTTCCTATCCCATGGAATATAACTGTTAATAACTTGTTATTTGCAGAGGTTTCTTGTTTATTAAAACTTTCTCTACCCCATCCTACTTATTTCACATGCATTCCTGTATCAAAACATCCCAAGTACCCCATAAATAGTTACATCTACTATGTACCCATAAAAAAATTTTAAAAGTAATAACTGTCTCCTGAACTCAGTGTTTAAAAAAATCCGCACCAAATTGTCAATTTCACATTAAGGAGAGTCAAGGCTAATGTCATTAAAAAAAACTGTGTACAAGACAACTGAATGGTCAAAGTCTGAGAAGCAAACTTTAAAATGACCTACATAGCTGCTTATGTGTTCACAATAAACAATAGCCTTTAATTTCTAGACATTACTGTCCCTAACAGAATCAGAAGATATTATAATACCAACTACTGCAAGGGAGTTTAGAGCATCAATTATATACCAGAATCGTGGTTTGGTGATTATGGAGTCCACAGAAGATACTGTGTTAGGGAGGAGAAAGCCATGAGGTACGTACACAACCACAGCCTTCCCCGAGAAGGGTAGATTTTGCTCACATTTATATATTAGCCCATTCCAACTCTGATGTTATAAAAAAAAAATACTAATCCATGGGAAGTAAATGCCAATAAAATGGAAAAAATCCTGCATTGCTAATTGACAGTTTTGAAGACTCATGCAAGAATAGAAGTATTCTTCTGGACTGGAAGAGGGACCATAAAGATGAACTAAATTTCTAGAGTATACCAATCTCTTCAGGATGCAAAGTTTAAATAATAATACATGAGCAACCCAAAATAAACTATTTCACATTACATTTTTTGTAGGGCAGGATTAGATCTTCAGCTTGAGTTCCTTTTCAGTTTGATTGCTCTGAATTCTCTTAAGTATTATCTAAAATTTAATAGTTTTTTTTTTTTAACAGAGATATTACTGGGGACCATTTTATGTAATTTTGACACAGACTCTTAGCAAAGAGTCCTTTCATTCTTTAATAAATTTATATTGAAGAGTAACGTACATATGGAAAAGCAAGCAAATCAAGTGTTCACAAAAATGACTATATCTGGTTAATCATCTTTCTGATGAAGAAATAGAACATTCCGGCATCCCAGATCTCCCCATGCTGCCTTCCAGGAACCACTCGCCTTCTTTATGGGAAGACTTGTTATTTTCCAAGTAATGACAAAACACGAGTGTCACCTCTTAAACTTTGTCATTTGTTGTTTCTTTTTAGTAGCATGCCTAAATGCTGTGGTAATGACAATATTTTTCAAACTGAGTTTAAAAGTCAATGGGCTAACTTTATGACTCATGAGGGTTTAGGCAGTGAAAGTGTTTTAACCTAAAAAAGATAAGAGTTTGAAAATACCTGCCATCCAGATTAGTGGCTTGTACAGCTGCAAATACTTTGGTTTTCAAAGGTAATCCTATACTGGGGATAATTAACTGCTGATTGTAGGTTGAATCCTAATGATGAAACAATAAACAATCTATCATTACTTTCCCAACAACAGCACACTTACCACTCAAAACAACAATGTCAGAAAATAAAAGAGAAAATAAATAAACGTGAATCTACAGAATCAATCCAAAAAGGATTTAGGTAACCCTCTGGTTTCTTGGCAGAACTGTTACTAAGCCATATCCCTGTAACAATTGATTCCATGTATAAATCTTTTTTTTCATAGTTTATCATATATGGTGGCTAATGTTCAGTGTATCTAAATTATATTCAGTGGTCATTAGTTATTATATCTAAATTATAACCAGTGGTTATTGGTTAATATTCAGTTTGGTTAATATTCAATGGTCAATATTTAGTTTACTTAAATAAATATTTCATTTATTTGAATTATACTAGAGGCTAATATTCAGTTTATTTAAATTACATCTGCTTCAATTTAAGCCCTTTGCTGTCGACACTGTAGGTCTTATACTTCTGCTAATATTTTATTTCCCCCAAATCACTTACCTGGCAATTTGAAATTGTTAAAATTTAATTGAAAACCAAAGTAAGACAATTTCAAAGTCATACAAGAACAGAAATTTTCTTCTAGGCATAATAGGAGAAAGTACAGAAGAACCAAATTTCTAGAATATAACAATATCTTCAAGATACGAACTTTAAATAATAATACACAGGAAACCAAAATGAGGTATATGCACATTATATTTTTTATAGGGCAAGAGTCAGCTTTTGAGACAAACACACTCTCCAAGCTGCTAAAATACATGCCATATAGTTCCTGCACAAATTCCTTAGGGGTCACTCATAAAAGGGTATCTCAGGACTTCATTTTTGCTTTTCAACCCTTATTTTAGACCAATTCTAGAGAGCTTATTTGTATCATTCTCAAACCCACGGTAGATTAAAGCATCAAAGTAGAAATTAAGAAGTGGCAGGTATAATTTGATAATGAAGAAAACCAGAAAAAATAGAGTGCAAAATCAAACCAGAAAAGCCCTCCAAGTTTAAGCAGTTACATCATTTAACACACAGGCCAATTGTTTCTCTAAACTTAGTAATTCTGAAGACATTGCTGTTTGGCAGCAAAGAAAAGTTTTTAATACTCCTTATAAAATCTTAAAGTCATCAGGAAAGACAACATATCAACCATACTCTCTTTAAAAGGCTTGGAAGAAAGCAATGTATTTTGAATTGTATAATTTAAACAGTAATAGTTTGGATGCTTTACTTTTGAAAAAAAAATGTGAATATGGAAAATTTTATTCCCAAATAAAACCAAATAGATAAGAGATACGTTATACTTAAAAAGTGATCCTTTTCTGTCTTTTGGTTTCTGTATTTTGGCGATAAATGATAATGGCTCCTCTAACCATGTCTGATAGGGAGTATTTTTATATGATTATCTTTCAGGCTCCCTTTTCCAAATTCTCTAAGTAATCTACACTTCATTAACTATACGGCCCTTTCATCTTATATTTGCATCAATATTGTCCAGAAGAATGCTTACTTTCTTTACAATATTATATTGCTGAGTCATTTTGCAAGTGGTGTATGATCCAGCCATAGTCTAATTATAAATCATCAATTTTTTCCTACTGAAATTTCTTCTAAGAGGTAATTTTCAACTTCAATTTGTATGGTGGCTTTTGCTCAGTAATATATTGGTCCTAAAATCAATTATATCCATTTTAATTTTTCACCAATAGTTTCAAAATGTTCACAATTATAATAACCTTATCTAAAATTTGCTGATGGTCCAGTCTCTTAGAAGAATCTAACTTTTCGGTAGAATTCCAGTACACAAAGGCATCCCTACTTTCCATTTCCACAATGAACAAAACTGACATATTTATATCACGCCAAATAAAGACACAGTTCAACTAGTAGTTTGCAGTGAAAATCACATAGTTGATAGAAGTCATTGGTTTTCTAAATATAATCTACCCTCAGATACTTATACATAAATCACAGAACACATAAAATAAACTATGGTGCTACATCGAATTGGGTACGACTTTTCCTCTCCAAATAACAAATCATAAAATGAAAGCAGTAAGAATATAATATAAGTTTTCATTATCCTCAAGGGTTAGAAGTAAAAACTTTGGGTGTGAAATAGGAATTAATGGCTTCTAAAGATTATAATATTTTATTTGGAATGCTACAATAAAAATCACATCTGGCTAGCTACATGTTAATATTCCAAACAAATGATAAATATGATTTTGGATCAACTAATGAAAGTATACCCCAATTTTTTTCTCATGTAAATTACTAATTTTTAAATATCCTGTAACATGGAAAATACTATGATGACGCTGTGTTAAAAAAATTTTGTTTGAGGTATTGAAACTCTTCCATATGATACAGAAATGATGCACAAATGCCATTTTATATTTGTCAAAACCCATAGCATGTACAAGAGGAAGAGTAGCCTAAACATAAAAGAAATGTCAACTATGGACTTTGGTTAACAATGTATCAATATTGGTTTATCAGTTCTAACAAATGTATTACCCTAATAGAAGATGTACATAATAGAAAAAAAAAAATGTGTCCAAGGGTGGTGGTTATGTGTGGGAAGGATCTCTATTTTCTGATCAACTTTTCTGTCAAACTAAAACTGCTCTATAGCTGATTTAAAATAAGTATTTGGACAACGTCTATTTCACTTGTAGTCCAGTATCAAAAAGTTGGTTACTGTATAATTAAAATATTAAGGTTATCATCAAATTATAGACATTTTTAAGCATTAAAATTTCAGAGATTCCTTGAAGGTTCATACTTTGTTAGCAACAGGCTACAATACCATCTCTAATAATAAAAGAAAGACCTTAGTAACAAAGTTTTCCTGAAATCCACACTTCTAAATTTTGATTTTCTGCTACTTCAATGAGAGAATAGTTTAATTTCACAGAATATAATAGTATCATTAAATGTCATATGGATATATATTTTTCTTTTTTAGAATCAGGAATTCTCATCCTTGTCTCACTCAATTACAATAAATAATATTAAATCCAACTAGTAATCTCAACTCTACCTCAGAGATCTTATGCATGTAAATTAACAGACAGAAATTTTCCAGTTTAAAGTTCTATAAATATTCTTAACAACAATAGTAGATGTCTGGCCATATCAAAAACAGATATTGGCGCACATTTGCTGAGTATTACAGAACCAAGTATCTTGGCAGCTTCTCTTTGCAGAAGAAAGTTTAGAAATGACAGAAAGGCAATGTTGATTCTAACACATTTTAATTTGTTGTTTAGAACTCTGTGATGTCAGACTGCAAACTTATAAACATGATTTTTTTAATGCCTTTGGAAAATGTCCTACTACAATATTTATAGCTCATTATATTCAAAGTATAAAGCACTGACTTTGAAATCAGTTGCATGAATTATAACTCAGTGCCATGATGGCATGAATAATAATGCAAAAATCAGATTCATAATTTACAAAAATGTTGGTTGATAGATTGAAAAATTGAAATTTAAATCAGGCAATTAAAATGTATGAATAAAAATTTTTAATCAACATGAAAATATCATTTGGGGAATTAATGTTACAGTTATAAATAGAAATCCATGTATTTTTTACATTTTGCTGCCACTGTCAATATTTACATGACAAAAATTTAGACAATGCTATGTAGTCAATCGAAATTATTTCAGATGTGACAGAATTGTTATCAGCCAAAACCCATGTCAAAAATATTAACACATTCATCACCAAGCATACCTTCAAGGGAAACACCATTTGTACTGTTGAAATCTTTGTATCACACATAAAAAAAATTATTACCCCAATATTTTTTTTTTTTTTGAGGCAGAGTTTCACTCTTGTTACCCAGGCTGGAGTGCAATGGCGCGATCTCGGCTCACCGCAACCTCCGCCTCCTGGGTTCAGGCAATTCTCCTGCCTCAGCCTCCCGAGTAGCTGGGATTACAGGCATGCGCCACCATGCCCAGCTAGTTTTTGTATTTTTAGTAGAGACGGGGTTTCACCATGTTGACCAGGATGGTCTCAACCAAGATGGTTCCCAAATCTTGAAGCTAACTATAGCTACTCACACACCCCTACCTAATTAAACAAATAAATACATAAACGTAGATAGACATTTGAAGTTATTATTTAAAATCACATTTTTGAAATAAAATTTAAATCACTTATCAACTTTAAGAAAATTTAGCGGAGATGTTATTACACCTTATCACTAAGATATAAGAGAATGATAGCAAAAATAGATAATGGTTATCAAGACATAACAGGGTTAATGTGGCTTTCAGTAGATTTTTATATAAAAGCCATTCACAGAAATGACTCCTCACAACAGTGAAAGAGAAAATAACATCCTTCACCCATCAACTTACATTATAAAGGAGAAGGTTCAAGGTGCTGACAAAGGTACCATTGTTCTCTTTCACAGAAATAGCAGCTGAGGACCTAAAACACATTTAGAAAAAGGAAAGCACTCATGAGATGCTAAAGTAAAAGCGGTATCTAGACGTTACATTTAAAGCACTAAAACTCCTGAATAATTCTGACATCCTGTTAATTATGCTTGGAGTTGCTATACTGTTTAAATCTCTGAACAGATAAAATAATAAAAAGCAAGACGGAACAAGTAAAGACAAGCTGTGCTTTATGATCATTTTATTTTTAAAGTAATTTTTTTTGTTTGTTTTGCATTACTCTTAGACTTTCGGCAGATAAAGGCTTGAATCTGATACAAATACACTTTCATCAATTTCATTAGAATAGAAGTTTCATGAGATCAGAGAATTTGTTCTACTTTGTTCATTGCCAGAACATTGGATGGTAAAGAGTGGGTAAGGGAGAAATTGAATGATCAATGAATTTCCCTGGATCTGAATAAAGCTCAGGAATGTGTTCAGTGTGGGGAGAGTGGGGGCAGAGTAAGAGACGTTTCCCTGTATACCCATATTGTTTTGACTCAAAGCCTTTCCTTTCTCATGTTCCACATCAAAGCCTTGCTTCTGACCAAGGCCTTTGTCATCACTGTACCATTAAAACCAGCTATGAATATTTTTTCACTAAAGTACAATGTAGCCTCCACATTTCCTCATCACTAAGATTAAGCAATAACCGAGACTTAATAATAGCAAATCCTAAAATTGGAGAAAGCATTCACTTAATCATCCCATTTTGTCAAAAATATTCAATAAATCCAGGCGATTATATTGTAATGTGGACACTGTCCTCTCCTGGAGTATGTGCTTTGGGAAAGAATGAATACATGGATATAAACAAAAGGCTAAATTAAACCCTCAGTCCATATCTGGAGCTCCATGTCCATCAGCGATGCCATGGTTCTAGGAGAATCATCAGCACCCATCCAGCTGACCGCCCAACAGAGGAATGGAGATCCCAGGATCTGGGGCAGCGGAGCCCAGCAGTGAAAGCATATGGTAGAAAGGGAAGCCAAGCAAAACTCAGCAATGTAGTTACCAAATGCCAACACACTGGGGACACTACAGGGTTTTCAGGGCTGCAAAAGCTCTCAAAGCTCTTGGGCAAAGGGAGTGAAGATAACCCAAGAAAGACAAGTGGCTAGTCTGAATTAGCTTAATTTGGGGAAAAAATGGTTTGGGTTTCTTATGGATCATCATTCATATATATATATATATATATATATATATATATATATATATGACCTAATATGCTTCCCATTACATTATTTCAGTTTAACTATTTTCAATAAATCCTGCTACCTTTCTAAGTCCCTGAAAGATATGAAATGACTGAAGCAAAAATTCAACATGAGAAAGCAGGAATAAAATGCAAACTTACGAAGCAAGCTGGGTATTATTAACCAGGTATTCCAATGGATAACTACAGCTAAATTTGTAAAGAAGCCCAGGTAGATAGCTGATGATTGTTGGTGGGTCTGGAGTATCAATGTATCCTGAAATATTTCCTATTTGTACTGAAGTTGCATTTCCATAAGCACTGACTCCAGAAATTGTGGATACCTGTTAGAACGGTAGATGCGGTTTAATGATTGAATGGTTATATATACATCCAGGCACTTCATATGCAAAATAAAACAGTAAGCAAGATCAATTCTAGGGTCTAGTTCAACTGTAAAATGAGAAGGTTTTGAAATCATACAATCCAAATGCAATTTATAAGGGACATGTATAAATGAAACTTCATATTTACCAAAGACATTTTACTTATACTTTATAAAAAAGAAAGAAGAGTGATTATAGGTTCAGAGGGTTACAATAAGTAATCTGAAAACACTTATGGGTGACGGCAAAATTCTCTGGCATGGCTGAAAAAAAAAAAAAAAAAAACCCTGTTAATCTGATCCTTTTTCCCTGTTAGCTTCATATCTCCAGGCTCCAACTTTTGACAATAATGCTGTCTGTCACTCTCCCCACTTTCCAATAACGTATCCTATGGTGAAAGTGACATCCTCCTCAAGATCTCACCTTCCCTAGGAATTTCCCCTGACTCCCCACATGCAGTGTTTATCTCTATCATATTAGTAGGCAGAGCAAAGGCAGCCTGTTCTCTGGGAAGTTCCCTTAACCATCATTGACGCTCTTTGTGGGCAGGGACCATTTTGTCCACTTTTGCAAACTCGGCATATCACAGTTACCAGCATCTTGGGCCCCCGAAATGATTTTTGAACAAATGAATGAAGGTCATACATTTTCTGAGGATTAGTCTTCTCAGGGTCTTTCTCTCCTGGTTCATAAAGATGCTTATCAACTTCTAGGATAATAGTTTATAGATAGATTTGGGGGTTCATGAACTTCCAGAAGTTATGTAAAAATGTTATCCCTGTATATTTCCTTGGGTCTGCTTATCTTTCACTGAATTCTCCAGTCTTACTAAAATTTTAGATCCACCATTTTAGGAATAATCAATAATTCTTTGACCTTCATAATACCAGAGAGTTCTTCTAGCTTCTTCTACCTTGTCAAATGCAAGAGGGCACTCAATAAATATTTTAGCAGACACTACTGTATTACTAAGATCTATGATGATTTTCAACAACAGTAAACTTAATGCATGAACCTAACAGCACATGAGTAAAGCTGTAGCAATTTCCTCGTTAATTTATAAATGGGACAAGAATCTTTACGAATGAAAACATCTTGATTGCAATCCAATGACTTAGTAGCCTACCTAATTTTTTCCCATGCAGGAACTCCCTTAGAGCAGTTGCCAAAGCTGGTAGAATCTAAGGCAAAAAATGAAAGATAAGCAAATCTTCCCCTCCTCCCAGTACTTACTTGATTCAATAGCTAAACAAACCAATTCTGTCTATTAAAAAAAAAGACACACATACATACATACAGCAATTTCTTTCTTTTTTTTTTTTTGTCTGAGACAAAGTCTCACTCTGTCGCCCAAGCTGGAGAGCAGTGGTATGATCTCAGCTCACTGCAACCTCCGCCTCCCCAGTTCAAGTTATTTTTCTTCCTCAGCCTCCCAAGTAGGTGGGACCACAGACACACGCCACCACGCCTGGAGCATTTTTTGTATATTTAGTAGACACAGGGTTTCATCATGTTGGCCAGGCTGGTCTCGAACACCTGACTTTAGGTGATCGGCCCACCTCGGCCCCCAAAAGCGCCGGGATTATAGGCATGAGCCACCGCACCCGGCCTAGTAATTTTTATAGCAGACTTAGCCTTTTAAAAAGGTAAACAGCACACGCATTGCACACTTTTCCTTGCTTTTCTCCTGAATCACTTTCTAGGCAGCAGGGTAAGATGACTCATTCAGACAAGAAAGCGAAGGAAAGGCTTCAGGGCATGGTGGGAGATGTGGAAATGCTGCTCATCTCCACATAGGCTCTTTCCCTCCACACAGAACAGGGACTTGTAATAATCAACCTGCATCACTCTCCCTTAGGCCCACTTTATAACCTCTCTGCACACAACTCACAGAGTTGAATAAACGTTTTTAATAAAAAGAGTCAACAATACTCAAGCTGCAGGTTTAGAAATGGTCATGGGCACAATATTCTAAAAGCCCTCTGGGAAAAGATAAAGAAGATTCAGAGAAATCTATTTTCTCTGTCTTCCATCTCCCACCAAGTCTTAGAAACCCTGGCCTTGGAATAATCAATCCTTTCTCCTTAATACAAAATAATAACTTGTAAAGAGAAAAGTCAATATCTCCCTCCCTGGGCTAAGTGATCATGTTTATTGCATTTCCTTTTTCATATTTGTTAATTTACCAATACGATTATATTTAAATAAGCAAAATAAAAAATAGTAAATGAATTTCAGTATAACTATTCAACTAATACTCCCTTCAAATCACAATATACTCACTTCAATTAATTTTAGTTCACTGGAAAGTCAATTCCTTATTCAATTCTATTTTGGTGTTCAACGCATTCATAAACAAATGAATGCTACAAACTAGTATTTCTAATTCAGGGTGGAAATGTTTAAAGAGATGTTTCCATTTTCACAATGATTACAGAGAGTGTGCTACTGGGATTTCATGGTAAAACTGGATATGATAAACATTTTGAAATTCAAAGGACAGTCCCACACATTTAAGAATATTGTACCAGAAATACTGACAGCCCCTTGCTACAAAGCACTCGCATTGATCATTCAATGGTAAGCATGAAAGAAGATTACAAGCGTCCCTTTCTTTCATCCTTTTTCTAAATGAGGTCACTAACTCAGCAAGCCAAGTGGCTCACTGCCAGACTCACTGGAACAAACATTGTTTGAATGGTCAGATACTTTCTTATAAAGCATGGGGAATATGGCTAATGCTACACTGTAAAGACAGATCCATCAACGTCACTCATGCAAAATCATGCTGCTTAGAGGAGCACAGCTGACCTCAGGCCCCTTGACTGCCCCACTACTATAAACAGAACCATTATTGGAAGATAGAATTGTGTATTCGGGAGTGCATGCCTCAAACAGGCAAAGGAAAGTTATTTGTTCAATTTCACTGTATTTTTTTTTCTTAAGAGATAGATTGGGCATCTTATTCTTTCATGAAATGGGGAGATTTTTATTTATGACCCCAGACCTAGCACAGAATTTCACACTAATCTTACCACCAAGTTGTTTCCACAGCCCTCCAAGGTGCTGAGATTGATGATAAAAATGACCACTGCTGGAAAGGTGTTGTTATTGATGAACCCTCTGCAGTGGGAGTCCCCATGCCTTCCATTCAGTGCCAGATCTGTTTCCGAGTAACCCGAGAAAAGTACCGTGCAAAAGTTAATCTTCATCGTAATGGCCTGCACCCCACAATAGACACTGATGTCTCTTTCAGCTGAAATAAAAATATACAAAAACAGGTATGAATCACAAACACAGAATCATGAATAACTTTAACATACCCCTATTTATTCATCTCCTTTGTCTGTTGAACTCATTTTTATACTTGATACACCATAATCCAATGTGCAAGCTATTAAGAAAAGTAACCAAGAAAAATAGCCCTTTATTTAGTTATTTAAGGAGAGATCTTTTGAGTGTAAAGATTAGGGTTCACCTCTGTTTTCTTGTGCTTGGTGTCCAGTGAATGTACATTAAGTATCGATCGAATATTGCCAAATGACCAGAGAACTGAATGGAAACAAATCAGGTTACTGAGGAAATTCAGAACTAGAGCAACCGGATTATTCAGATCACCTGTCAAGAGTAGTGAGCATCATTACAGATGATGCATATTCCCAAGCGTAAGGAGGCAGCAGTGGAAATCCACCCTAAACCAAATTGTCAAGCACTTTGGTATTTGGTAACCCATCTTACGGGTTGTATAAATAAAAGCCATCCATCAGAATTCAATTTTATTTTGCCTAAATTAAATCACACTGGAGAGAAAGGGAATGAAAAATAGTGCTGATATCATGAACAAAATGCACAGCTCACTCTAAGAAAATTTTGGCAATGACTATGCATGCCTCAGTAAAAAAATGACCTAAACATGGAAATGTAAAACACAATTTGCATTGATCTCCACGACTCCATCTGTTATCAGTGATGGGGTCTAATCCATGTCCATAGAAGTGAGCATGCACACACACACACACACACACACACACACAAACACACATACACACACACACACACACACGAGCTCTTGGTATCTCTAGTTATTTTTCTATATGTAATGTAGTAATGTAGAAAATATATAAAGGAAATGGAGTGAGTGACTGGTAGGTAATTCCCTAGTGGCAGATTATTCCACATTCATCAGCAGCTTTGGTAACTGCTATGGGTTTAATTATGTCCCCCCCAAAAAAAAGATATACTGAAGCCCTAACCCTCAGTACCTTAGGCTTTATTTGGAAATAGATTGTTGCAGATTAAATTAGGTAAGATGAGGTAATACTGGGGTAGAGTGAACCTGTAATTTAATATGATTGGTGTCCTTCTAAAAGAAGCATCCAACGAAGAGACAGAGAGAGACACAGGGAGAGACCGTGTGAGGGCAGAGGACTGCAATGGGGCAGCTACAAGCCTAGGCACACCGAGGTTGCAGGAAAACCACTGGGAGTTAGGAAGAGACAAGAAAGGATTCTTCCCAGACTCTCAGCAGGAGCATGGTCCCACCTGGACTTTGAACTTCTGACATCCAGAACTGTGAAGCAATACATTTCTGAGTTTTAAATCACCCCAGGACACAAGTTTCTGTTGTCTTAAATCGCATTGTTTGTGGCACTTTGTTACAGCATCCCTAGAAAACTAAGAGAGCAATTTTACCACATTTTATCACTCTGTTATACCAATTGGATAAAGAGTCTGAAACAAGTGTCGAGTTTTCAAAATGTAGAAACAAACGAACAAAAAATGATTATGCTTTTCAATGGGGAGATGACCTTGATTGTTCAAAGGAGGAAAATCAAACAAAATAACACGTATTTTTGGTGAATGGTGGTATGTCCACCTAAGTAGTGTGTAAGTTTCATTCAAGGTTTTTAGCATAGAATTAATTAGCTTAAATAATTCAGTCATAATCTAATAGTAGAAATGTTCAATAGCATAGCTCTTTAAAGATATATACATACTGGTATTTTTCTTCTAGCAAAGTCAGTCACATTTGGGGAATGTGAATAAGCAATATGGAAATGTCTATGTTTTGTAATAAGTTTAAACTCATTAAAATTGCCTATAAAGAAGTATGAAAAATCTTTTTCATGGCCAAAAGGCAATATGCTAGGTGTTATAGAAAATTCTATGCAATATTCCCTTCGTTGGTGGAAAAATAATGAATTAATTATAAGGTATACTTTGCCAACCTAGAAAATAATAAACATCATTTAAAATTAAGGGACTATCTCCATAGCCTTCAGCTACATTAACTATTTAAATGCAAATTGAATTTTTAAATGATACTTTTTTCTAAAATAATACTGTTTATTTTAACAAATGTTTATGAGCATCTATAAACTTCAAAATATATCTTAAATCACTGATTTTTGTCTATCTGCATGCTATTCCTTTGCTCATACCATTATTATCTCTCCCCTGGAATATTGCACTGGCTTCCTAATTGGTTCCTGTATCTCCAGTCTTAATGTCCTTCAAGTAGCACAGCTGTTGATACATCAATCCAGTCCTGTCACCCTCATGCTCAGATTTTCAACAGCTACATTTTCACATAGGCCAAAAGCCCAAATCTTGAACTAGATCCTCAAGACTCTCCACAATTTGTTACCTGCCTACCTCTGCATTCTCCTCCCTCTCTCTCTCTTCTATCAACCTGGCTACCTAAATATGTGACTCTGAACATTTTTCATGTCTTTAAATGTGTCATATTGAGCGATAGAAATTAGAAAAGTAATTACTCTCTGGGGTGGAATTGTCTAGAATAGGGGCACAAGAAAAATTGGGGAAGAGATAAAAATGTTCTCTATCTTGATTTGGGTGGAGGTTATATAAGTATATACCTATGTTAACATTTCAAGCAGTACCCTGAAGATTGTCACATCTTACTATATGTAAATTATTCCTCACTAAAGTACTGTGGACATTTCTAAAACATAATACAGGTGTGCACACACACAAAAAAATTCTATTTGCAATGCTGCAGCTACCCCAAAGGCTTTGCCTAAGTAACTTCTACTCATTCTTCAGGTTTCAAATTTTATTTACCCAAATATTTGACATGATCCCAAGTCTAAGGTATGCCACTCTGTTTTATGCTATTGTATTGCCTTAGAATCATTATATGTATTTGTATATTTTTCTTGATAAACTGTAAGTCCCAGAGGCAGGAAAGGTTTTATATTAACCAATATACTCCAGTGAGTAATTAGCTACTTAATCACATGAAGTACTGGAGCAACAGACTGCATTGAGGATTCAAAACATAGTGGTCAAATTTCCAAGCAAAGGAGCCCTCTCTCCCTCTCTTGTCTTATAGGGAATGCATTCCAGGACTCCCATTGGGTACCTGAACCACAGATTGTAATGAACCTTATATATACTATATTTTTTTTGTATACATACATACATACGATAAAGTTGCTTTTATAAATTAGGCACAGTAAGAAATTAACAATAATACTAATAATTATTATGAATAAAGTATTATTAAGTAAAATCAGGATTACTTGAACATGGCAATGCAAATCTGCAACAGTCAATCTGATAACCAAGATGGCTCCTAATTGATTAGTCGATAGGGAGCCAACATACCACGGATAAGCTGGACAAAGGAATGACTCACGTCCTGGGCAGGATGGAGCTGCATAGCATGAGATTTCTTTACACGACTCACAAAGGCACGCCATTTAAAATGCATGAGTTGTTTATTTCTGGAATTTTCCAGAAAATTTAATATTTTCTGACCACAGTTGACCACAGGAACTGAAATCATCGAAAATGAAACTGCAGATAAAGGGGACTCTTGTATATTACAGTCCATTCGGGGAAGCAGACACATTACATTAGCGTGACCCACATTGAGGTAAAGATTGCGTGGAGATTTGCCAGACCAGCTGGTTACGAATGGCTTCCCGGAGAAGATGCCATTAGCTCAGTCTTGAAGTATCAGTAGGAGTTAGCTAGGTAAAGGAGGGGAAATTTTGTAACACGGAGGGAACAAATGTGAATAATGAAATATGCTCTGGCTGGTTGGGAGCCAGGTAGTTCTCATCCATTTGTAATTAAAACACAAAGGAAGAAATAGAAGTCAATGAGGACATGTGTTAGGCACAGGTGAGATCACAAGGAACCTTTACCTGCAAAATGGCCTCTCTAAGATACCATCAACCTGAATGTCAAATCAAATCCTCAGTTATTGGAGAGTTCACCACAAATTCATTTTATGCTTGGTGAAATCAAACAAGTATCATTGCTCTACTTGATATACCATAAATGTACCAAAGTGAATGCCTATTAATAAATCTGTCACAAAAGAGAGGTATCACTTCTCAACATAAACCAACTAAAGACTAGTTTCCTCAGCTCTGTTTAAGGGGATTAATTAATGCTTAAAATATCTTAACAAATGGCAAATAATTACTGTGACCAGATGTAGCGCTCTTCTCTGTTTCCTGCTTTATACCCAATTTGTAATTCCAGCAAGGAAACTGAATCTGCTACAAGCTGATCCCACTTCAAGATATGATGACAAACTAAATGCTTTTTGCAGTGTAAGAAAAGAGATCTGTTCAAATCTTTCCTAACCTGGTTTTCTAAGGACTTTTCACTGTATTTCAGAGAAACATATCCTTTTCCTGGTTGGAGGAATTAAGGCATCCATTCAGCTCAACTTCACCATTTTTGAGGCTTTGCGGAGGAGAAAAGAAGGATACTTTCTGTTGCCAAAGGACAATTTCTGCCAAAAGGAGAGAGTATTTTTTCAGTTACTGAATAAGAGTTGCTCTCAACAACTACATTTTTTAAGCCTTTCACTGTCCAATCCCTGGCTTGAATTATGATGTTCAAGAGTATTAAACAACCTAATGAGTAGATATCTTTAGCCGTTTGATTTTTAATGTTTTATGTCTAAAGATACTAAGTATGTCAAATGGCAGCCTGCTGACAGAGTTTATGTGCAGTTACATTTCCAAAACTGCAATGTTTTTTTCCCTAATATTAATCAAGCTAGGCTTTTCATAGAAATTAAAAATAATGGAATATTCAACTGAATAGGGTAAAAATAATGTTCTGTACTCTCTTGTCCTTCTTTCTGGCAATGGTTTTCTGTATCTCAGATTTTCTAAAATTTTGCAAATTTTAAATATCCTGTCACATCATCAGCCATCTGTCTCTCCATGTATAAAATATGCCCTGCTTTGGGGTTCATAGAATGCGGTT